AAAAACTTCTCCAACAGGGTAAAAAGGCAATGCACAGACTGGGAAATAATATTTGGCAATGATATATCTGATAAAGGACTAATAGAATCTAAAATTTATAGAATATCCCATCACCTCAACAAGAAAAAGGTGAACAACCCAATTGCAAAATGGACACAGGACATTTCACCAAAGAAGACATTCAGATGGCAAATAAATGCATGAAGAAATGTTCAAAATTCTTGGCTACCAGAGAGATGCAAATCATATGAGCTATCTTCTCACCCCAGCAACAATAGCAAAATTTGAACAGAGCAGCAAACAACAAATGTTGGCAAGGTTGTGAAGAGTTTGGAACCCCTATGCACTGCTGGTGGGAGTGTAAAATAGTGTGACCACTATGGAAGGTGGTCTGGAGCTTTCTCAAAAAGTTGGAAATAGAAATACCATTTGACCCAGCAATTCCATTACTGGGAATATACCCTTAACAAACCAGAGCCACCATCCAAACAGCTATATGCACATCCACGTTTATTCACAACAGCAAAGAGATGGAAGCAAAAGTGCCCATCAACAAATGAATGGACAGAAAAACTATGGTGAATATGCATATATATATATATATATATTCTCATAGTGGAATACTACACAGCACTGAAAAACAAGGAACTCATAAAACATTACACAACATGGGTAATCCATCTATGGTTACCTATATACTGAGTGAAATATCTCAGTTTTAAAAGGACAAATATTACATAACACCACTGTTATGAAACAGGACTGGCATGGAGCATTTGAAGGAAACTCGGAAAAGAGGGATAGACAATAAACACTGCATTGGAACAGATGAAGGAAAGAACTGTCTAAAAGGAATATATGATTAGGTATTATTCATATGACAACAGTCCAGAATTAAGAAGTACATTGCAAAAGTAGACTGGGGAGGGGTGGGGCAAGGGAGAAAATTGTGTAACAATGAATATCTTTTTTTTTTAAGTGAACTGGGAGAGGAGGAAAGGAGGGGGAGGGAGAAAAACATGGCAACAATGAATGGATGAAAATTCAACTTTTCTGTAAACTTTTGTTAAAATCATAGTTTAAAAAAATCTAAATTCATTGTGGTTGAGTAAATCGTGACTCGTAGCAGCTCTATAAGACACAGTATAATTATCCTACTGACTTTCCAGGGATGAAATCTTTAAGGAGGCAGATTGCATCATCTTTCTCCTGTAGAATGGCTGGTGGGTTCAAACTACCAACCTTTGATTACTAGCCAAGTACTTGATCATTGCACCACAGAACTCCTTTATATGAATAAAGGCATAAGTTTATTAGATGTTAACAGAAATGTTTATTTACTTGTATTCACATCACATATTTTCTTTGAGTAGTGCTCTCAGGTAGTACGAATGGATACAGCATCTGACTGCTAACCAGAAAGGGCCTCAGAAGAAAGGCCTGGAAATCTAATTTTAGAAGTCATCAAAACTCCTGTGGTGTACCATTTAACACACCTTGAGTCATCACGTTGGAGCTGATATGACAGCAATTGGCTACTGGGTTTGCAGTTAGTATTTCTTAAAAAATATTAATAAAGATCAGCTCATTAATTATTTACTACTTGAAGTTAATCACTCTCTCTTTTTCTCTTCCTCTCCTCTCTTTCCCTTCCCCTCCCCTCCCCTCCCTACCCCCACTTAGGGAGCTCTAGTGTACAAACTATCCGAAGGCTAGCAGTTCAAATTCACTGGCTGCTCTGAGGAAGAAAGATGGCTAATCTCTTCCCATAGGATCTACAGCTTCTGAAGACCTGCTAGAGGGTCAGCTATGAGTTGGTTCTGACTCCATGACATGCAACAACAACACTCTTGAGTATGAACTAACTTATAGCTGACTCTCCTCTGAATTTTCACATGGCAAGTGACTGCCTATTCTTTTTCCTCTTGAACTGTCAGAGAGGCTCAACCTCAGGGTTAGCAACACAGCTCCTTGCAGACTATACCACCAGAGTTCCCTTTACATTTCTGAGTGAGAAAAACCTCACTATCACAGAAAGAAACCATGTGCAGTAACAGATGACTTAGTTATGCGTGTCTAGGGAAAGCCAGGATGAATCAAATTTACTTCTTTGGTTTCTGAATATTTAAAAATACAGTAATGACCTTTTTTTTTTTTTAAATCATTGGTCCTTATCCCTCTCTTGAACTCCAAATTCTCCACACCTCTTCCCTTTTGAATGTCCTTTCAGCACTGCCATGGCAAATCCAGTGCTACTCACCTTTCCCCCACCTATCTCTTCCAGTGATATCTTGTGCCTTGTTTTCAGCCTAAACCATGATTTGTTGTTAGTAGTGCTGTCATGTCAACTACAACTCAGAGACTTTAGGAAAAACAGGCTTGAACCTTGCCCTATCCTGTCCTATCCTCACCATCTCTGGAATGCTTAAGCCCATTATTGCAGTCGCTGTGTCAATCTAGCTTGTCAAGGGTCTTCCTGTCTTTCTCTGACCTTCCACCTTTCCCAGTGTGATGTCTTTTCCAAGGACTTGCCCCTCCTGACAATATACCCAAAGTATGTGAGATGAAGTTCTACCGTCTTTACCTCTAGGGCTCACTCTAGTTGCACTTCTCCCAAGACATATTTGTTTGCCTAAGCCACCATCACTTTTCATTTAATCACTCCAAATCTATCCCCTGCTCTGCACCTGGTTAAGACATTGCCCTCTCTCCTTTGGCCTGTTAAAGTTTTTGCTCTGGGTTCCCTATTCTGATTTGCCTGGGAGTACTTTCTGATTTTTGATGGAAGTACCTTTCCTTGACTTCATGATAAAACTCAACTTGAGGCTTTAGCCCACTGTTCTCTTATTTTTCTTCTGTACTTTATTGACTGCTTCCTGTATAAAGCTCTTCCTAAGTTCTACCTTGGAAAAATTAATCTTTCTGTCCTCTGCATTAACCTTAGCACTTAATTCTTACACTGGTGAAAGTACTTATCACATTGCATTAAAGTTGCTAATGTATCTTTGTTACTAACCTCCTTCAGGACAGGGACCCCGGTCTCAAATCTCTAGTGGAAGTACCAGCAGAGGATCTGGAGAATGGAAGGTGGTAAAATAATTCTTCCCAAATGCAAAGCTATTTCTTTAGGGGGACCAATTAAGGCATTACCTGATCACAACCTATCCAGATTGAGGACCAATAGAAAGGGAAGAAACTCACAATAGACACATGAAATCTGAGAAACATAAAAATATATTACCTTACATGCACACATGTTTTTTTAATACAGATGCTCAGGAAAAAAAAGGGGGAAATGAATTAAATCTAGGACATTTCCGTTACATATCATGTCCTTGATATAATAATAAACAACATACATATAATTTGGTATGCTCATAAAAGTTATCACAGTTAGTGTTTTAAATTTAGAATTTTTAAGGCAATTAAAAATGCATGAAATGAATGAAGTATGCACATGAAGGATGATTAAATGTTTGCTTTTAAATTATTCATTGGAGTGTTATGCAAAGAAAAACGCACAAATCATAAGTGTGCACCCTGATTAATGTTCACCAAGGGGGATACAGCCAGGTAACAAGCATCCAGATCAAGGAACAGGGCATTCCCAGAAGCCCCGAGCCTCCCATCCCGATCACTGCGCCTCACCACAGTCACTTCGATCCTAACCTCTAACAGATATACGTTCTGCCTGTTTTAAAGACTTTGTGTGAACGGCATCATCTGGTCTACAATGTTTTCTGTTTTACTCCCATCACGTAACATTGTTTTATTAAATTAAGCCATATTGCTGCGTGTGCCATAATCCTAAAAAAGCAATAATTCACTCTAAAATCTCTAAGTCTGAATGTTTTTAGATTGCATTACAAATGGAGGTGAAGAATGCTAAATCATAAGGAATCTGATGCCTTTTCATTTTTGTCAAAAATTCTTTGCCGTAAAACCATTCACACCACTTGTTGTTACTGTCATTAGGTCCTAACCAGTCCCCACTCACAGCAGGCTCTGTCCACAGCGCGGTGAACACGACGTTGTGCCACAAGATCAAATTTGTATTGCTGTAGGACAAAAACACCACCACCATGGTATTTCTGGATCTTATAAATTCAGTGACATCAAATTAGTCATTTTCTCAATAAAAATTTCTAGAATAAAGGAACAAATGAAACTAAATAACAAAAAGATTCTAAAAAAGAAAGTGAAGGAGAAATTATCCCCACAGCTCCCTAAATACAACAATGATGATTTTTTTTAAGTAAGTCTAATTTTCTGGACTCTAGTAACAATATCTGCATCTTTAGTATTTTCACAGGCATTTTGAAGTTCGTATATAAGAGACACCTAATTATTTCATATGTTCTAACCAAAAAGCAGCAATGAGTTTGAGGGTGTTGGGAATTGTAAGGATGGCACAGAATAGGACAGGGTTCAGATTTCTTGTCCACAGAGTTGCTCTGAGTCATACTCAACTCGATGACACCTAACAACCACCACCACCACCACCACCACCTCCACAAAATGAAGGCTTGCTAAAAAGTGGGTGGACAGTAATAGGGAAGGTTTTGTTGGCACCATCCTGTAGAAAAAAATATAGTAGGAATGATTTAGAAGAATTCAGCTTGCATTTACAAAACAAATATAGAAGGATTTCCTTCCTGTGCCCTATAACCTTTGAAAAGAACATTCTAGCAGTGGGCAAATTGTCCTCCTATATTGTTTTATTCAGAGTTTTGGTGGCATAGTCTGTAGGGAGTTGTGCTGCTAACACAAGGGCCAAGTTTCCTTGGCAGTTCAAGCCCAGTTATACGTCTGAGGGAGAAAGATGGGCAATCTCTTCCTGCACAGATTCACAGCCTCCTGAAAATCCACTTGAAGGGTCAGCTATGAATTGGTTCGGACTCAACAGCAATGAGTGAGTGTCTGAGTGACATTTGTCACACAGTGCTGCTCTCCAGCTACATACACACCTGAGATTTCCCCATTTTCCTCAGAGTACATACCTTGGGGATTAAAGAAGCCAGTCATCCAAAACACATTAGGTCTCCCTTCAAATATCCAAGTGGAAAACTGAGCATTTCTTTCCAAAAGTTCAGTAAACCAGAAGCCGAGGGTAGATGAATCCCAGGACACTCTCTTCCAGATCTGAGGTATCCGGGCATCGTACATATTGTCCAGTGCATCTCTCAAGTTCTGAAAATGAGAAGCTGAAGGATGTGAACAAGAAAAACCAACAGAAGATAGAAGTAATGATTGCGATATTAGTAAGGAGCTCACCTCACTCATAATGATTGTCCCTTCAATGGCCAATTTTAAATCACACAGGCTACTGCGAAGTATTGAAATGACCTTTTGCATTCTGTCAATTTCTTGCCTAAGAAATATGTTCATTGAGTTAAGATGCCCCATCTTTATCAAGCGAGCTTTTACCTAGAATGAAGCATACAAAGCAAGAAAAGAGATTTTTTTTTTTTTTTTAGTATCTGTCATTTCTCTTCCAATGTCCTCCCCTTTCTCACTTCTTTGTCTTCCTTTTGGATACAGCTGACCTCCACCAGCCCAAATGAACTCTAAACCAGCTCTTGCAGAACCAAAGTTGCCATTAAATTCTCCATTCTCTGGGCTTCAAAAACTACTGTTCAAGTAAGATGATTTTTATTTCCTACTGATTATACTCAGTTGGTAATTGGAAATGTATTTAAGATACTGAAATAAAATTGTACCTTTTCCCCCATTCAAATGATTAAGTACTTAGTGTCAGCTAAATGTTCTTTTGCTTCTAATCTTTATAAGAATACAATTTGAAATACGTCCCCCCCAAGTGCCTTTATTAGAAATATCACAGAAGGTTAATGCAATCAAAATGGTTTCAGAAACAGTTAACAATGAATGTGAACAGCCAGTTTCCTAAGATATCTGGTGCCTTAGTTGGAATGTTTTCTAATCTAATCAATGAAAATATTTGACTTTGTGGGAGGGCTACTAGGCACCTGTCATTTGTTTCGTTTTGTAGATCATTTATTGGTCATTGCAAAGAGATCAATTTAAAAGCCACTAGTTGTCGGAACAATAAAACAGAACAATTATTGGAAAACCATCCAGTACATATACAAATTTCAATTTCGTGGCATATGCCCAAGAAGAAATTAACTATAAATACTGGCAGGAACTCATAAAAAGATTGGAAGATTGGCACTTTCTGCTAGTCATGATTAAAGAGATAGCAGAATAGGAGGGGTGAGGATAAACACAGGAGTGAGAGCTAGGCATCAGCCCAAAGAACCACCAAGAAATCAGTCAACTTCTTGACTCTGAGAAGTCCATGGTCTGGTCATGCTAGAGATGGCTGCACCTCATAGTCATTCAGATCACCCCCTGATTTTACAAAGCAGGTCTTCTGGCATGGGGAGGTTTCTTATCTAGGTGCCTTCTGCTCTATGGCAATTGAATGATAATGGGGACAGGAAAGCAATAATGGAAAATAGAAAATGGAACTGTCTGAATGGGACTTCCTGTGCAGGCAGAACAAGTCATAATCAAGGCTTTAGCTCTCCAATCCAACTCACCATATCAGCCCTCAGGACAAGTCATAACCTAGCCTTCAGCTCTCCAATCCAACCCACCATACCAACCCTCAGGACAAGTCACAACCAAGCCTTCAGCTCTCCAATCCAACCCACCACACCAACCCTCAGGTTGCTTTTGTTAGGTGACAACAAGTTGACTATGACTCACAGTGACCCTATACACAACAGATGGAAACCTTGTCCTACTGTGCACCATTCTCACAATCTCCACCACGCCCAAGCCCTTGAGGTAGGCTCTTAGATTTCTAGTTTTAGAATTTAGGACTTCACAATGTCCAGAGCCTCATTCTCACATCCATGCCAAGCCCTCCTTCAAGCCCCCAGTGACTGATGAGCAGATAAATCATCCATCCCTTTAAATCATCACTACTCAGCAAAAATTCACACTTATGGAAGTTGTGGAAATATTTCTGGAATCCTAACAAATGGGAAACTAAGCCCAAGTACTGATCACAGCGCCAAATCAATAATTGAAGTACTATTTTCCATTTTTTTACTGTGGTAAAAAACTCCATTAAAAACACCCAAAAGAACTGAAAGCAAGAATGCAAACAGGTACTTATATATTAATATTTAATATAGCACCATTCATAACAAAAGGTAGGAAACAACCTAAATATCTATCAACAGATGAATAAAATGCACTCTATACACAATGGAATTTTACTCAGCCATAAAGAGAAATGAAGTCCTGCTATAAGCTACAATATGGATGAATCTTTCTATAAATTTTCTTTTCATTCACATTGTGTTTCATACAAACATTCCCATAACATATGGGTGAATCTTTAAAATATTGTGCTGAGTGAAATAAGCCACAAAAGGAAAAATATTGTAAGATTCCACATATTTAAAATACCTAGAATATGAAAATATACAGAGATCAAAATTCATTTATGATTATCAGGAGTGGGAAGGAAAAGGAAAATGGAGTCATGGTTTAGGGGACACTTAGTTTTTGTTAAAGGTAATGGAAAAATTTGGAGGCAGAGAGTGGTGATGATTGCATAACATAGCACAGCACATGCATTATAATTAATGTCACTGACTTGTGCAAGTGAAATACTGAATTACCAACTGTTTTCTTATACACACCTCCAAATATAAATATAGAAATGTATATATAATGTAATATTAATATAATTATAATGTATTATATATTATAATGTAATTAATATAATTACATTAATATAATGTATAGTATAAATCTAATATATAATATTATAGTTGTTGTTGTTATGTGTTGTCAAGTTGCCTGCAACTCATAGTGACCCTATGTACGACAGCTCTGAAGCCTGTCCTGCCCTGAGTCAGTTTCACTGACTCTGACACACCTATCCCCATTACCCTAGTTTCTGTGTCAATCTATCTCATCCAAGGTCTTCTTCTCCTTCACTGTCCCTCAACCCTTCCAAGTATGATGTCCTTTTCCAAGGACCAGTCCCTCTGGGCCACGTACCCAATGTATGTGAGACGGAGCTTCAAAATTCTTGCCTCCAAGAAGAAACTTGGTTTCACCATCTCCAGGACAGACCTGTTTGTTTTCCTGGAAGTCCATAGAATGTTCAATACTCTTCAATACCAGCACCACAACTCAAATCACCCCGCTCTCTGATGCATATCTAGTACTTGTAAAGACTATGGCCTGGATCAGGTGCACCTTAGTCTTAAGACCGACACTGCTGCTTCTCAGCACTCTGATGAGGTCCCAAACTTCAGATTTTCCCAGTGTAATTAATCTTTTGATTTCCTGTTTGCTGGCTCCAAGAATAAGCCAACTGTGGAGCCAAGCAAGAAGAAATTGTTAACAACCTCCATCACTTCTCTATCTATCATGATGCTGCCAATGGCCCAGTGGTGAGAATCTTTGTTTTCTTGATGTTGAGCTTCAATCTATACTGAAGACTATAGTCCTTGACTTGCAAGCACTTCAGGTCCTCCTCAGCTCCAGCGAACAAGGTTCTGTCATCTGTATAAGGTAAGTTGTTGACAAGTCTTCCTCCAATCCTGATGCCACATTCCTCTTCATAAAACTCAACCTCCAGAATGTATTGTGGTAATAATATAAAAATATTTATGTGTGTGTGTGTGTTTGTGTGTATCAAAACATTTGCTATTTCAGTAGAATATGGTAATAGCTTCACACAATTTGCCTGTCTTGCTTAAGGTTTTGCAAAAATAAACTTGAAGGATATGCCTTGTTGCTGTTGTTGTTATGTGCCATCGAGTCACCTGTGGCTCATAGCACTCCTATGTACAACAGCCCTAAATCTTGCTCTATCCTGTGCCAATCTCACTGTCTCTGACACACTTAACCCTACGACCCCAGTCACTGAATCAATCCACCTCATAGAGGGTCTTCCTCTCCTGCACTGTCAACCCTCCCAAGCATGATATCCTTCTCCAAGGACTGGTCATGCCTTGCAGCATGTAGGTCATATGAAGCTTCAGAATCCTTGTCTCCAAGAAGCAGCCTGGTTTAACCCTCTTTAGGATGAACCTGTTCATCTTCTTAGCAGTCCATGGTACATTCAATACTCTTCTCCAAAGTATCAATTCTCCTTCTATTCTCCCTAGTCAATATACTTAGAAATAAAAATATTTTTAGGTGCAGCTGAGTCAATTTCAACTCATAGTGACCCCATGTGACAGCAGAACAGAGTCTTCTAGGTAAAAGATTTATGGAAAGTAGGGTTTTGTTCTGCACAGACACTGAGTGATTTCAACCTGCCAACCTTTCAGTTAACACCCAAACACTTAAATTCAATGCCACCATGTCTTTCTTCTTAGAGGAAAAACTCTCGAAAAATGTAATTTTAATATTGTGTTTATTTTTAGTGTAATTATTGTTGTGGCCTAAATTATCCTTTTATTAATAAAATTACAGATTTTATGTAGAATGTTCTTATATAGTCTTACATTGGATTTTCATTATGTTTCTGGAACTAGATAATCTCTTCTATAATGATGTATCTCCAGTTTTACTATACAGAAGTTAATAGTATAATTATGTTTCTATTTCGAAAAAATTCACTTTACAGTCACATTTTCAAGAATACATCTCTTCTTTAAAATAAGTTGTCTAACAGGTATGTTATCTTGAAATTGGAAACTGCTTTAGTATGATTTCCCTCACGTGCAGCAATTAGAGGGTGCTCTGGTGGCACGGTCTGTAGGGAGATGAGCTGCTAACCATTGGCGGCATCTCTCTGTCAGTTCAAATTCACCAGCGGCTCAGTAAGAAAAAGATAGGCAATCTCTTCGCATGTGATTTACAGCCTCTGAATATCTGCTGGAGGGTCAGCCATGAGTCAGTTCTGACTCCACAATAATGAGCTGATCTAGGAATTCACTCGCTGACAACTGTGACACTCAGTATCTGCTAGAATATTGCCATGTTTAATGATGGTCCCTGTGGTAAATTAGCTCAGATCAAGGCTGGACAGCTCAAATTATCACAAGGTCTTGAAATCTTACTCCCAGTGATACCAATTCTGGGGTCTAGTTCTCCCCTCTGAAGTCATACATTTTTGTCACACCTCTTCAATTTCTATGCTGAACAAATAATTTGAGAAGCTGGACTCTGTAAAGAAGAATGTGGCATCAGGATCAGAGGAAGACTCATCTTCAGCAACCTGCATTATGCAGATGACATATCCTTGCTTGCTGAAAGTGAGAACTTGAAACATTTGCTGCAGAAGATCAAGGACTTCAATATGGATTGCCTCTTAACAGCAAGAAGATAAAAATTCTCACCACTGGACTGATAAGCAACATTATGACAGAGGAAAAAAAGGTTGAAATTGTCAATGATTTCATATTACCTGGATCCACAATCAACAG